GGTACGGTTTTCCCTTGATTTACGGGACATTTTCAAACACATTGACTATCAATCTCTTCAGTGTGTGATATGGTTTGGCTGTGTCCCCACCCAAATCTCATCTTGACTTCCCACATGTTATGGGAGGGACCTGGTGGGAGGTGATTGAATCATGGGGGCAGGTCTTTCCCATGCTGTTCTCGTGATAGTGAATAAGACTCATGAGATCTGATGGCTTTAAAAATCAGAGTTTGCCTTCACATGTTCTCTCTTTGCTGCCATCCATGTAAGACATGACTCTCTCCTCCTTGCTTCCATCATGAATGTGAGGTTTCCGCAGCCATGTGGAACTATAAGTCCAATTAAATCTCTTTCTTTGTAAATTGTCCAATCTAGGATATGTCTTTACCAGCAGCGTGAAAATTGACTAATACAGTGTGTTAAAAATCCTCCATGTGTTACATTTTCTGTGTTCTGTCTATTATTATTAGCATCATTACTTTAAGAGACCAGGTCTTATTCTGTTGCCCAGCTTGGAGTGCAGTGTTGCAATCAGAGCTCACTGAAACCTCAAACTCCTGGGCTTATGTGATCTTCCTGCCTTATTAGCCTTCTGGGTAGTTAGGATTACAGGCATGTACCACCATGCCTGGCTATTTTTAAAATGTTAATATTTTTTGTAAAGATGGGGTCTCACTATATTGCTTATACTAGTCTTGCACTGCTAGTCTCCCTTTTGGAGGCTGAAGCTATTCCCTGGCTTCAGCCTCCAAAAGGGCTGGGGTTACAGGTACGAACTAACACATCTTGCCACGTGTATTCAATTTAAGATAGGCATTTTCCTCAAAAGTTAAAAAATATATTTACTATTTTCATAGATTTAATTATTTGCATTTGACTATTTGCATTTAATTCTTCTTTATTAAAATCATACTTAATTCTGGACTTTCAGTGAATCATATTAAGGAAAGCAAAAGTAAAAACAAATCACAAGACAAAAATCCACTTTAATTCCTTAAAGAAAGCAAAATGCTAAATTGGTGTGATGGTAACATGTAACACTGTTAAACATTTTTTAAAAGATTAGGAAATATCACTCAAGACTAAGGACTGAGGAACAGACCATGACATCTTCCAGTTAGAAACTGAGAGCAGTGGTCTGAGAAGCACCCCTGCTCATTTTCAGTCCCCTTCACAAACCCTGCTTTCTGTAGTTCTGATGGACACATTAGGGACTGGCCTAATCAATAAGAGGCCAGCTCCTTTTTTCCCTCCTTCCGAACAAGTCCTTGGCACAGAGTAAAGTATACAGTCTCTTGGCAGAGAACAGGAGAATGCAAAAGTCCTGAGCTTTAACTCTTCCAAACACAGGTTCACTGAGGGAGCTTAATTTGGAAGCACCCCGGCAGCATCACATTTACATGATGTAGAATTGGGTCACAGGATTTTATAGCTAAAGGGAGGTGATCGAGTCTGATGTACAAATTAAGAAAATGAAGTCCAGAGTCACTTATCTATTTATTTTCTGGGAAGTAACTCATTCTAGGACTATTAGATGTGACCATTTTAAAGTAAAAATATAAGGATTGCACAAAATCACAAAGATATATTGGCAAATATTTTCACATCTTATTGAGACATTGAACTGTAAGTTTTGGAAAATTTTCTATAATCGTAAGTCTAATAGTCCCCAGTTAAGTGCTTTTCTACTCACTGAAGACCTTCCTCTTTCTTCTTCCAGGAGTTTCTCAAAATTAACACCTAAGGAGAACAGCTTGCCTTTTAAAATTCTTATAACTGGATTGCCTCAGATCAGACAAGCAAAAAAGGAAAAAAAAAGAGTTAACTTACACTTTCAGGTATCACTATTTATGCAAAGTTAAGTGTCTGGATATTTGAAAAACACACGAAGAGATAGAGATAGCAATTTCCTTTCACGGTTTAAAAAAATTAAGTAGCTTGACATTATGTGGACAAAACTTCTGAACATGTCCACATGGCCCTCCCTATTACCCAAAGAAGAAAATAGGAAACAAGAAAAAGACATCAAAATTTGGTAGCTCATTAGATTTGATGTCTTTTTTCTCCCAATAAATCTCCAGGACGGGGAGGGAAAGGGGGATAGGGGAAATTAGCTACTGGTTTGTGGAATCCACACTGTACCAGCAACTACTTAACATCTAGGGCGCGTTCCCAGTGATGAAGGCTCTTAGGAACAGAGATCACAGCAAGCCCTGGCCTGACAGAGGGTCTGCAGACGTAGGACCCCAGCCTATTGTCATGTCCCATGGTATTTTAGTGAATTAAAAAATATTTGGGTCACATCGTATTTATCATTTCTTGTGTCTCTCTCAGCCAAAAAAGAGGAAATGCCAACTGAAGGGGACAGGTAAGGCCCCCACTAAGGGAGGAGAAAGTAAGTGCCTTGTCTGAGGTCCCAGTATGAGCAGGTGCCATGCCTGGGTAACTCACCATCATAGCCCCCAGCAACTTGTGGTTCTGATGTGTAGTAATGTACAGTATTTGTCGAATGAATGTTGCCAAACAGAGGCTTGGACCTGTTTCTTCCTCCAAACAATGTGCTGATTCAATCAGATATTAAACATTAAAGTTCATAGCCAGTGCCTAGCTCAGGGAATACATTCTGTATTCTTAAATCTTGTTCAGTTTCTACCACACTATTTCTTCCAAATTTATGAACAGCCCAAGACATTCTCTAGACACATTGGAGGGGCAGTTCGCAAACTGTGGTTCCTAGACCAGCAATGGCAGTGTCACCTGGAAACTTGTCAGAAATGCAGATTCTCAGGCCCCACACTGGACCTACTGAATCAGTAATTCTGGAAGGGGGGAGTGGACAGTAGTCTTTCTGTTAACAAGTCCTCCAGGTGCTTCTGATGTTTGATCAAGCTTCAGATTCTCTGCTAAGAGACAATTCAGAACCTAATTTGATACATAAGTGCAGCAACCAACTCAGCCCAGTGGCCGCCACAATTATTCCCTCGTCCTTTTTTAAGTGGATTTTTCTTTTTTTCCTTTTTCTGTTACATTTTATGTTTTTGAAACACTGAACTCATAACCACTTCTTTCTAGAAATAGAAAGCAATATCAATCTCAAGTAAATAATAATTCTAATGGACCTGAACTTCACATCAATTCTCATTGAAAATACCTAGTCACCCCTTAATAGTATAGTAAGTATAATTTAGAATTATTTTATTAGAAAATTATACCTATGTATTTATATTTTGAATAATTTTATAAACATTCACTCTATTTCATACATATAAATATACCTTATATAAATTGTACATATAAAATAACTCTTTTCGAGAGCCCGCATAGCCAAGTCAATTCTAAGCAAAAAGAACAAAGCGGGAGGCATCACACTACCGGACTTCAAACTATACTACAGGGCTACAGTAATCAAAACAGCATGGTACTGGTACCAAAACAGAGATATAGACCAATGGAACAGAACAGAGGTCTTGGAGGCAACACAACATATCTACAACCATCTGATCTTTGACAAACCAGACAAAAACAAGCAATGGGGAAAGGATTCTCTGTTCAATAAATGGTGTTGGGAAAGCTGGCTAGCCATCTGCAGAAGGCAGAAACTGGACCCCTTCCTGACACCTTACACTAAAATTAACTCCAGATGGATTAAAGACTTAAACATAAAACCTAACACCATAAAAACCCTAGAAGAAAATCGAGGCAAAACCATTCAGGACATAGGTGTAGGCAAGGACTTCATGACCAAAACACCAAAAGCATTGACAACAAAAGCCAAAATAGACAAATGGGACCTAATCAAA